AGACAAACGCACTGGAACTGGTCGACACCACTCGGGTGAAGAAGACTCCGCGCACTTTGGCCGAGATATTGAAGGGTAAGTTTCAAACTGAATTGCCAGCCGGCATTTCGTTTTCATCAAGTCTGAATTGCCGGCTGGCAGTTCAACTTGATTCTGTTGATGACAGTGGCTAACTGAATCGCAGTGATCGACGAAGAGGACGCCCAGGACATCCGAAACGAAGTCACGGAGCTTGGCCCAACGCCAATTCACCACCCCGTCATCGCCTGCGTACCTCCATCGGCCCTGGGGGCATGGCTTCGAGACCATGGCAGCTTTTACCGGACCGACGACGTCCGCCGCAACATCGTTCTCCGAACCTTCTGCGCTCTCGGCACGGCCAAGGAGTCGCTTGCCGCTCGCAACATGGCCATTTTACCAGGCTCTGCAGAGGGCTTGAACGCCTTCCTCGAGAGCCTCGATGACGGCGATCCCATGACCTCTAGGCACTTGGTACTCAGCACCTTCCAAGGTCTACACTCCCGCATCCTCGTCGAGAAAGGCCAACAGAAGACAGTCGGCCGGAGCAAGGGCAAGGGCAAGGCCACAGCAACCGAGGTCGAGACAAACGTTCCGGACGTAGAGGACGACGAGCCGAACGAACCAGAGGACGACCAGTATGAAGAGGATTCGTCAGGCCCCAACGCACTGGACGACCCCACGGCCCTCGATGCGGTCATCGACAGATTCGAACTCCTGATCCCGCCAGATTCATTCTCCATGATCTTCATCGACGAAGGCCATCGCGTCAAGAACCCCATCAGCAAGCAGACGATTGCTCTCTGGCTCCTCGTCGGCAAGTATGTCCTCATGACCGCGACGCCGTCGAAGGCGTCGTTGTTGGATCTTTTCGGCATCCTGCGGTTCGGGTTCAAGGCCCTCCAGGCCAAGGGCGAAATCTCGACGGAGCCCCTGACCCACCAGGCATACAAGTCGCTCTACGCGACGTTCCGAGACGAGTACGATCACGACCTGTTCGCCATCCCAAGCGAGCAGCGCTTGGATTATCTGCGGGCGCTGAACCCAGCGGGCTTCCGCAAGCTCTGTCGCAGCGAGAGGGACGCCCGCAACGTCACCAACGGCACTGACATTCTGCCACTCATCATGTCCCTGTTCATGCTGCGTCGGTCCAAGGGTGACACCATCACTGCCGCCGATCAAGAAGTCGTCATCGGATCTGAGATCCCTCCTTATCAGATCATCAACGTCGAGCTCGGCATGGGCCCGCAACAGGCCATGCTGTATCGCGGCGTCGAGGAGAACGTGCGTCAAGTCGAACAGCAGTTTCGAGACGCACTCGCTACCGGTGAGGCGTTGGAGAAGAAGCTCGCCAAGCAGGCAGCTAGGAAGCAGCGCAAGAAGCGCAAGAACGACTCCTCCTCTTCTTCCTCCTCGTCAGAGAGCGATGTCAACGAGTCAGACTCGGATAACGACTCTCCCACAGCCGGCAAGACGAAGACCGATGCAGAGAAGCCGACAGAGGAAGTCAAACTCGACGACGATGAGACCCGCGAGGCACTCAAGCGGCGTCGCCTGGCCATCGCCTCGTTCAATCCCCGTCTGGACGCCTTCGAGTCCCGCAAGATCGGCTGCAACGCACAGACTGCACACCACAGGTAAGTCCACCACTGAACCGAACTGCCAACTGGCAATTCAAAATGAAATGCCGACTGGCAGTTCAGTTCGAAATGTCACACAATATGAATACGCATACTAACACATCACTTAGGGCGAACGCCGGTACGGACTCATTTGACTTCATCTACAACTGGACCCACGATGACTTCGACGTTGCTCCTCCCAACAACAGACTCGACATGGCCCACTACCTTTCCGCCACGTCCGTCAAGACCCAGGCAGTATTGGCGATCATCAAGCACCACCTCTTCGACTGCGACGAGAAGGTCATCGTCTGGGCAACCGAGCCACCGGTCCTGATGCAATTGGAGATCCTTCTCAAAATCCTCCACATCGAGACTGTCGTCATCCGCGCCGGCAAGAAGAACTCCGAGCGAGTTCAAGCTGAGGTCGACTTCAACACCAATCCCAAGGTCAAAGTCATCTTGCTCTCTGTCGTCTCCGCTCAGGAATCGATGA